CTGCTGCTCGCTGTCGCTGTCTGCTGCGTGGGGGGAGAAGAAGTGCGAGGGCTGGGGATCGCTCCCCAGGGCCCACGTCAGCTCTCTCTCCTCCGCCACCCACTGAGACACCTGCTGCTGCAGCTGCTGCCAGTACCCCTCAACCCCCTCCTGCGTGAGGCCCCCAAACTCACGCACAGCCGGGGGGCCCCCCGCTTCTCCTTCCTTTGATGCCGTCTAAGCAGCAGCAGCAACAGCAGCAGCAGCAGCAGCAGCAGCAGCAGCAGGATTCAACCGCATGCAGAGATGAAAACATGCGTCACTGCTTCAGGCTCTGGGTGCTCCGTCTGTGTGTTTATCTAAACTTAATTCAAGCAACAGCAGCAACAGCAGCAGCAGCAACAGCAGCAGCAGCAGCAGCAGCAGTTTGCTGCAGCAGGACCTACCCTTGTAAATGCTGGCAGCCTCAGTACCTTATTAAGCCGCCATGCATGCGCGGCAGGGGGGCCCCCCTTGGGGGCCCCCTCCTCGGTGGGGGGCGTATGAACCTGGGAGACCACCCCCATACGGCCTGCGGGGGACAGCAGCAACACAGGTCCACTGGTCACATACTGCATGCAGCAGGATGCATGCAGCAAGCGTGAGGCGTTGGGGGCTGGCAGGGTTTAGCTTCGGCTGCTACAGCTGCTGAGGCCACAGGCTGTTCTGCAGCAGCAGCAGCAGCAGCAGCAGCAGCAGAATCAACAACAGCAGCAACAACAACACCAACAGCAGCGACAAGAACAACAACAACGTCAGCAGCAGCAACACCAACAGCACCAACACCAACAACAACAACAACAACAACAACAACAACAACAGCAACAGCAGCAGCAGCAGCAGCAGCAGCAGCAGCAGCAGCAGCAGCAGCAGCAGCAGCAGCAGCAGTTCACCTAGTAGCGAGAGAAGTTTTCTGAGTGCGGTTCCCGCATTCTTTTTTCCCAGGCCCAGCAGCGGTAGCTGAGCAGCAGGGTGCTGCTGTCTATACACCTGAAGCTGGCGGCTAGAAAAAACTAACAAACGAAACAAAGAAGGGGGCAGCTGCTGCATCGGCTCTGTTGCTGCAGCCTCCCGGCTTAGGTGATCGTCAAGCACTGGCAACGCGTAACCGCAACCAACCTGCATACATAAACCCTAAACCCTAAACCCTAAACCCTAAACCCTAATTTTTTATGTTTTTGTGTGTACAGAACAAAAAATATGTGAAACTCGCGATACACACTAAACAATTGAAGTCAACAGCAGCAGCTGCTGCAGCTGCTGCTGCAGCAGAAGCAGCAGCAGCACATAACATATTATAAACCAATTTAGGGTTTAGGGTTTAGGGTTTAGGGTTTAAACTATATTTATATACACAGCCCTGCCTGATGGTTTAGCTGTTCTCTGTGGGGCGGAGATCATAGATAGCTAGCAGGCTGAGCAGCTGAGAAAGTGGTTTAGGGTTTAGGGTTTAGGGTTTGGGGGAGTGCAGGAGCACGAAGAAACCCCAGGGGGCCCCCGAGGGTTTAGGGTTTAGGGTTTAGGGTTTAGGGTTTAGGGTTTCTTACCAGCCGTAGAAATGTCTCCAGCGGCATTCGGCGGACCATCGTAGATACAGTCAAAGCGGGGGCCTCTGCATGCAGCGAAAAAAAATAAAATAAAAAAAATAAAAAAAATAAAATAAAACAAAAAATAAAATAAAATAAAAAAAAAGGAAATAAAAGGAAGTAAACAAGAATTAAATAAAATAAAAGAAAATGAAAGAAAATAAAATAAAATAAAATAAAATAAAATAGATTGGAAAAAAAAAAATAAAATAAAATAAAAGAAAATAAAAGGAGAATAAAAGAGAAGGGAGGAGAGAGAAAGAGAGAAAAAAGAAGAGACAGAAGCAGCAGCAACAATAACAAACAAATACGACAAGCTCTAACCCGACGAAATGTAACAAACCCCTACAGCAGCAGCACAAGCAGCAGCAGCAGCACAATCAGCAGCAGCACAAGCAGCAGCAGCAGCACAAGCAGCAGCAGCAGCACAAGCAGCAGCAGCAACACAAACAGCAGCAGCAGCACAAGCAGCAGCAGCAGCACAAGCAGCAGCAGCAGCACAAGCAACAGCAGATATACACACACACACA